ATAAGTCGATTGAATGAAGTTATTTCGGATACTGATTTTGCTGATTCGCAAGTACACTCAGGTATAGGCATAAGGAAGGTCAATTCATCCCACAATCGCTTTAATTTTGTATAATACTCTGAAACAGATAGATTACCTTGTGAGATAGAACTGATTTCTCGCTGGATCTGATAAAGCATAGGGCCATTACAAGTTCCAAACCTCTCTTCAATCTCCAACCATAACTCTCTAGCAGTACTTGTGTATAGAAATGCTTCGACAATCTCCTTGGAAATAGAGTTCAATAACCATGAAGTAATCATGTAGTTAACTCTCAGCCATTTCTCATAATTTGGAGAAGTCTTCTCAGGTGTTCCAACACTCCCATCAATCAGCCCTAACTTCATCTTCGCTCCTAGTGCGATTTTAACAGATCTACTCCATGCCAAAAAATTCTTACCAGTCAAAGGCGCCGTCACCAACGTCATTCCTGGATGATCTGAGCTATGAAGAAACAGCGGGTCTGAAGTATTCAGGTCGCTTTGCCTTTCAATTCCTTGAATCGTCTGGTTGTTTCTCAGCTCAGTAGGAAACGAATCCACATTCTGATTCTCTGCCATTGCAGCTCAGTACTGAGCTTATCCTCCGCTTTCTTCAATGGATATGTGGCTTGCAGATCTGGAATTCCAGAATCCACTGCTCTGATACCATGTTCAATTAATTGGAATCAACAATTTTATTCCATTACCAACCAACCAACCGGTACAGCAATGGGGTCTATATATATAGACCTAGCGAAAGAGGGAAAAATCAAAACAACTGAAACGGAACTAGAACTAACTATATTTATTACAAAGGAGGACCTAAGCTATTTAAAGAAGAACAATTAAGTCCTTTGAATTGAATAATATCCACACTTTTAAAAAAGAATTAGCCAATCACACACTACCACGCTAGCTTCTAAATGTAGACAAAGTTACATATTAGAGCACACATCCAATTACCCCCAATTTTTTACAATCTGGGAATTTAAAAAATTTAAAAATCTATTAAAAGCCCCAAGAATTATACACTTACTTTTAGAAAAAAAAAAATATACGTCTTATAAGCTCGTCCAAACAATCACTCACGGTAGTTGAATAAGAAAGAAGGAGCCAGGTGGTATAGCAATGCAAGGGACTTGTCTGCCTCTGCACACTGCTTACATATGCATACCTATATTCATTTAACTGCATGTGTATGTAGATATGACTGTATAGAGAGGGGGAGAGATTGTAGATAGAGACTGAAGGAGTGTTTATGTAGCGCTTCACCGCTTCATGACAGTCTGTCATACCCCCCACCGCTCTCTATGTGAAAATATATATATATATATTCACAGTAAAGCAACATGCAATTGCCAAACTTCAAATTTATATGCTTAGGGTGAGAATAGGCTCACTAGACTAAGAGGTTTTCTTCAGATTTCAGCACTTTTCCCCCCAAGATGAGTCACTTAGGGCTTGGAAGGAGGTATAAACATATATGTGTGTGTGTAGATATAGATGTGTTCTTTGATTACTTTGTGTTATTTTGTTCCTTATTGCATGCATGTGTTTATTTATCCATAAATTGTAGATTTTCAACTTCAATTTTTATCTTAGTCAGGGTTATTCGGTGTTCTATTCTTGGTTTTTTATGATTATGATTCAGATTGTATCATGGAATAATATTAGATTCGAAATAAGGGTTTTTAGAGTTTTAAATGTTATTGGGAATTTGTTTTTGCATTGGTTTTGATAAATGGACGAGGAATTTATAGTACAAGAAATTTCAGTTTCAAGTTTGAAGGTATGCACAGGTGAAACTGAAGGGACAAATTGCTGTTTTCATGTTAAAATTATCTTTACATTTTTCTTTATTCTTAATTGTTTCCATCATGATTGATTGCAGAAGACATAAGAAATTTCAATCAAGGAAAGGTACTCCGTCGGGAAGTAAGGTCTGTAATTAATGAGTGTTTTACATTATGAATTTGAGTTGAGGTCTACTATCACGCTTGGCTATTTCCACTAAAACTAATGTTCACGCTTTATCGGTGATCTCAATTGTAATTTAGTTTGTGGCATCTTTCTATTTGTGAGGGGAGGACGGCAGCCAAAGGGGGACAGCACATCTCATCTCATCTCATCTCCTTGAATTTGTGGGAATCAATATATTATTTATCTCTTGAATATTTTCTACAATCTTTATTTTGAATTTGATATTTGAACCTCAGCAGATCAATTGCGAGTTTCTTAATTACTTTTGATGGAAAGCATTAATTGAAGTTATGCAATTGATGCTTATAATTAATTGAAGTAGTAAATAGGAATTTAGTATTTTAATTGATGCAGGGATTTCAACTTCAGAAACACTTAACTGCAACACTGGATAGTATTAACTTAAGAGAAGCCGTGCAACTTCCCCTCGGAGAAGATGTTAATGAGTGGTTGGCTATAAATAGTAAGTCAATTCTTCATCTGTGGTCAGCTGTCTTATATAAATTTATTGAACTAGGAAGGAAAGGCTATATGTACTAGAATTTGAGGATGATAAGAAAGAAGCATTTTATGAAACTAATAGTAAACCAACTAGAAAAGAACAAACATACTGCATCAATGATTAAAAATCACATTGATTACTACATGAACTTCCTTTACAGTCAATTTCATGCAAATGTTATTTTCCATTATGTTTTAAAAAATAAAAAATAAATAAATAAACTTGACAAAAATCCTGAATTAAACATCTAGGACGAAAATTACTGCCTATGGAAACTTGTAATGCTATCTTAATGCAATCCTCCTGTATGATTATTACATGTCAAGTGTGTTATTGAAAATACTGTATTTCTCCATTTTGCTGTAATTTTTGTCACATTCACGTGTTTTTGCTTTCAGAAATCATTGTTTCTATTGATTAAAACCGTTTGCATTCAATATCCGTTTATATATAGTTACAAGCATATGCAATCTTGGGGATTTTTTTGTCGCATTAGCGTGTTTTGTTTGCATTCAATATCCGGTTATTTATAGTTACAAGCATCTGCAATCTTGGGGATTTTTTTGTCGCATTCGCGTGTTTTTTCTCTGAGAAATCATTGTTGCCATTTAATAAGACTGCCTGCATAAGTAATCTCGTGAATATTGTGTCACCACAAGATTGATACATTTGTTACAGTAACTTCATAATAAAACAGAGCCTGTATCTCAGACTTTACCACTTGTTTTCCTTATCTGCAGCCGTTGACTTCTGTAATCAAGTTAGCATGCTCTATGCCACCCTCACAGAGTTCTGCACAGAATCAAGCTGTCCAATAATGTCAGCAGGGCCCAAGTATGGTTTTCAATTCCTTTTCATCATAGTCTCTCGAGTCTGGTAATACATTTAATCCTCATTGACATGCTATTGCACATTGTATCGGTTGAAGCTCCCGATCCTAATCTTTAAGATGTCACTCAGAAATAAATGACAGTGTGCGAAAGGTATACAAATTGATGCAGACCCCTGGATTAACATGGCATTTAATATACAAGTGCTAAGAGATAGAAGTTTAGGATGTAAAAGTCATGACGTGATAAATGCATTATCTGATATAAAGTGCCGACTATAAGTGGCAGAATGTATTGAATATGTGGATTAGTTTCCTCTACTAAAATTTGTTCCTGCAGGTATGAGTACAGATGGGCTGATGGAGTTAATATAAAGAAACCCATAGAGGTTTCTGCTCCAAAATATGTTGAATACTTAATGGGGTGGATTGAAACTCAGCTCGACAATGAGTCAATTTTTCCACAGAACTTTGGTATGTGGAATGGCACTATCTTTTTAACATTATGTTCTTGATCAATACACTGTATTAATGATTTATTCTGCCACAGGTGCACCATTCCCTCCCAACTTTCAGGATGTCGTTAAAACCATGTCCAAGCGAATGTTTCGTGTGTATGCGCATATCTATTGTTCACATTTCCAGAAGATTGTGGCTCTTAAAGTAGAAGCTTATCTGAATACTTGCTTTAAGCATTTCATTCTCTTCACTTCCGTAAGTTTATCTTCTTCATCGCACTTTTTTTATACCACCAAAATTTAATTTCTGTGAAAATCAAATCATTTGAAAAAATTTCTTCATCAGGTGGATGCATTTAGATTTTTTTGACAAATTAATTAAATCTTGTCATGGATACAGCTGCACTTGTAGTATTGATAGTGCTCTTCGTCAGACTAGGCTTAAGTTAACAGCCATTACGGGTCATAAAGAGAACATTTATCTATTCGAGATAATATTAATTAATGTCCCATGTCATGTTAAAACAAGCATACAATGTGGTTAATACTTAATATTCCCTTGGTTACGCTTTTTTTTCTAGAGTTATTATTTAGTCGACTATTTGGTTTAACGTGTTTGTCAACTTGATCATCTACTGCAGGAATTTGGCCTGATAGACAAGAGAGAGCTTGCCCCTGTTTCTGAGATCGTTGAGTCTTTTCTAGAAATCTAGGAGCTCATTCGTTCTTTGTTTATGCCCGCAAAAAGTCATCCTATCTCCTCATCCGATCTGAACTAGTTTGAGGGCCGGGTAAAGTCCAACAAAAACCAAATTTTGGTGGATTACCTGCTTGTAGATTTTGAAGCCTAGTACCTAATGAACTTTTGTCAGTACTGTCATGGATCTATTTTGAAGTGTAATACCAGTTAACTTTTGTTCTTTTTCTGTTTTAATGGGTAACTTGAACCTTTTCAGTTATACTCTCTTCGCTTAATTGGTCGAAGGAGATGAAATATCTTTAGAGCTTACTTCTCTCCGCATGAAATTGTTGTATAATACAAAAGTTTGATTTTCAACTGTTGCTTTTGTTTTGGTGACATTTATTTAAGTGTCTTCCCTAAATCTTTATTTTCTGTCACATGCTTCCTTAGAAATTTCTGATATAGCTGAGTCGAAGAACGAACAAAGAGAAAAACAATTGGTCTTAAGTAAAACTCCCCATTGCTTAAATAAGTCTAATCCATATGCATTGAGTATGTATCTCAAACCCGCGACCATAGTACGTAAACTTAAGATTATAGCGATTTTTATTTGTTACATCTTTCACGGGTTGTGGATTGCAAATTCTGCCACCCACCCCCAAATATTCAGCACGAATCCATGTTGAAGAAAGAACCGATCCTCTCCCATATCGCAATACTGCAGCCATAGCAAAAGCATCTCATTGGTTCGGCAAGAGGGCTAGGGGTGAAATGGTCCGTTGGTCTTTGACAAATATCCGTAGCAAGGATACACTAAGATTCTAGTAACTGATTTTCGAACACAATAAACTATTTCCCATTTTGGACAGCTTATCATCCATAAAGATTAGTGTTTTGAAAGGTGACCCGAATATTGAACTATAAAAGATAGATCAAGGGTTAGCAGGTCTAACTAGGTTGTGTGGTTGAAACTAATTATTAACTTTGACTTAAATATAAAAAATTTATTTTAATTTTACGCTAGACATGGCTACATATCTCGATATAAAAACATTAGAAAATTAAAGTTTCAGGCACTTTTTCAATATCATTTAAAAAATTAATATTTTCAAAATTTTTACTCCTCGGTATGTGTTCGAATGTATTCATTCTTGACTAGATTTCTTATATCTCTCAACTGTAAATAATCCAACATAAGTGATAGTAATCTACAAAAATTATACGCCGCGCAATGTTGAAGAAACAAACATCCTCATTCCCGAATCCATAGTTCAAGAAATTGTACTGGGATATGAGAAATGATAATAAAAAATATATAATCAATTTGCATCACTTTAACTACTGAAAGGCTCACAAGAGACTAACAGCTCCTAATATTTTATAATGTCGATAACATTTATACTATGAAGTTGAATATTGAAGAAAAATAAAGTCATTTCATCCGGGGTAAATCGGTAATGAAACAATTAAACTGACAGCCGTAGTATTTTCAATGGAGAAACTCCAAACATATCCAGCGTAACTATTTGTTTTATGACGACCTTCAAGATTTTATTTATATGTATATACATATTCACAAATCTGCAGGACATATATATAACTTGATGAAAAGGGAATGTGCAGTAAATTTCTTCACAATATGGCATGGTTCCATGCAAATTGCCAATGGGCTGCACATCTCTGCTAAAATCAAACCAGCCACTCTTTGAGCGTCAAACAAAGTTATGGCTATCTTTTGTAAGTAAAACTTCCCTGATTTGAACTTTTAACTTTTAATGGGTTTTCTCAAAGATAAACTCCGGAGGAGGATTTGCATCTCGATGCTTGACTTCCATCTCGATTTTTATTGATCGTCTTATGCGAGTCTTTTCACAGTGGCTGTTTTATCCTCAATTGATCATCTTTGAAACAAGCGCTTTGAAAACTTAAATTTAATTGTTAGAAATAAAATTAACTTATTTGTTATGATCAAAACATTAAGAGTGAAGTCAACCATAGGTCAAGATGAGTTGTATAAAGAAATAGCAACAATTGATAAGGAATAATGATCTTAGATATAACAAGTGATTTATATATTCCCCCTGTCGTTTACAAGTCAATAACCATTCCAAGCATATTTATGAATTTATCACATTCGTATCAAGCATAAACAAAAAAAGGTACATGCATATAATCTCATATTTTTTTTTCCATCTTTTGGCATAAGCAAAAAGTATAAAGAGGGGATCGAAAACAAGTTATATAAAAGCAAAACGACAACCATAGGCACCAATAATAGCAAGAAAATTCTGCCTTAAAGTAACACAAGATGCACTTAGAGGTTAATATATAGTATATCACATCCATAACAACAAAAAGTGAATTTATGAAAGTTAATGGAATGAAGACGTTAGATTAAACATAAATGTATCCAAAATACATAAGCATGAAATGTAAACCATAGCTAAGGCTCCAAAGGAGAGGGTGGAGGGAAGTGAGCATAAAAAGAATTTTACTGAGCTTGCAATATCGCTTGTTGAGCTTGAATTATATCTTGTTGAACTTACAATTGGTCAAGCATCCTACCAAGGCCGTCAACGGAGGATGTAAGTGAACCAATGCATCCGCTGAGGAGATTGTAATGATCTTCGAGAATGTAAAACCTCTGGTACGACGTGGAACACTTGAACTTGGGATGTGGTGTGGTGAATCATCATCATCCTCTATGTCACCTCGTCGAGGGGTAAGGTTGAGAGACCCAACTCTGCATCAAACCCTTTAGTGCGGGCCATCCATTGTCCACCTTCTTTGATAATTTTCATACGCTTGAGAGTGTGAATGCTGATGGTGTTGGTAGGTCAAAGAGATACAGAAGCTTCACATGGAAAGAAATGTCAAAATATTAAAAGATATTGGTAAAAAGCGTGTTGTAGGGTAGAGCTTTGATATGTCGTGTAGAATGAACAAGTTTCATGTGTCCGAGAGTAATGGTCGAAAAATTCAATTTTCGCCCAACCAAGAAGGAATCAAGAATAAAGAGATCGAAGTTGTTAACTTTGTCTCGATGACCTTTTCGCGGAAGGGTGATATGGACAATGATATTTGGTAAAGCTTTACAAGGTATGATAAGTTGATTTGCACTAAACTTCAAAAGATGGATGAGTTTTGTGTTTTCACAGTCATCGAGTTCGAGTATAGTTCGGATAGTGGATTTCATAATGATAATTTGTTTTCCTTTAATTAAGAAATAAATATTATCTGAAGTACGAATCGATCGCGAATTTTTATAAAATTCTTTCATAAGATTGAGATAGGCACGTTCCTTCATAGTCACTATCGAGACCCAACCCATGTTTACAAAATATTCTTGAATGTGAAATGAGGATGCTTTAAGGGTTAATTGAAAGAAATCACCATTCTTACAAGTGAGAATGAGTGATTTTTTGAAGGGATTTTTCGGCTCTTCAACTTCAATATCAAATTCTTCATCGGAGGAAGGTGGAGAAAATCTTCTCACGGTACTTTTAAGTATTTTTTTTTAAACGTTTAGACATCGTCATTCTTGAAAAGTAGAAAAAAATGAGAAGAAAAGAGGCTAGGTTTGGATTATGTGTGAATTGGAAATTGTAATGGATGAAAGTTTGAATTTTTGAGAGATTTACTGTGTTAAAATGATAGTTTTTTATTTTAAGAAGTATTTGATAATTGAAGATGGAAATGTGAAGAATTTAGTGAAGATTTGGAAAGAGAAAGGAGAGAAATGGAGAAGAAAATGAAGGAGAAGAGGGCTGACGGGCGTATTTAAAAACTGTATTTACGGCAAACGGATGTCCGGGTTGGCAGAGCCGGTTAGAGCCTGCTTTCCTCTTTCAAACCAGACAGGGTTTTGTACAGTCCACTTGACTTGTCCAAATGCTTTTTTTTAACATACTAAATTAAATATATAATAATTACTGCATCTAGAAACAAAATAAATGTAAAAACACTTAGTATGAATTTAACTTAATCATGTACTTTAAATCATCAATAATGCCCAAGCCTATTTGAATATGTGAGAATCGATCAAGCACTAGAGGTTAAGTGAAAATGTCGGCCAATTTATTTTCAGTATTCATAGATTCTAATACCTTCTGTGCATGGTCTATTAAAAAGTGATGTCTAATCTTAATATGCTTCCTTTGAGATTGCAAAATGAGATTTTGTGAACAAGTTTATAGCACTAGTGTTATGACACGTGATAGGCATATGACCAAAGACAAGTGATGGACACTGAGAGTTTGCTTATCCATAATACTTGTGCACAACAACTAGTAGCCGACATATATTCAGCTTCGACGGTGGACAATGTAATGGAATTTTGTTTCTTACTAAACCATTACACAAGTGCAAAGCCTAGAAAATGACATGTTACGCTAGTACTCTTGCGATCAATTGTGCATCTTTCCATTGGTTACTTTTCTTTGAACATTCTCCTCGTGTCTTAGATTCTGAATATTCATGGTCCCTGTTCGTTCAACTAAAAAGTTAGATTAAAATCCAAGTCAAAGTTAGTTGATTTTAAGTATAAATTTTATGGGACCTACAAACTTTTTATCCATACATTTCATTAATTTTATTAAAATCTTCTAATTGTTTATGTGGACATAATAAGAATGGGAATTGAATAACATGCGATGTGTACTTTAAAAGTGTGAGCGCTTCATATACATGAAACAATTCTCCACTAGCATGATTAATGGCATAATGCAACTAAAATCTTGTTCAGTATACTATTAACTCATGTTCAATATTGTGTATCAAATATGATACTACATATTTATATTGATTTTTTTAATAATAGCTGCAAATAATTCATTTATAAGAATTTTCCCATAGAACAATGTTAGAAACATATTAATCAAAATGCTNTCATTTATAAGAATTTTCCCATAGATACAATATTAGAAACATATTAATCAATAATGTTGTTCACATATCCTGTTAAATTGCTGCCAATTCAGGAAGAAGAAGGAGTAATTTGAGAAGCCACAGAGAATTCTAGAAGAGGAGAAG